GTGGGTAGGTGAGGTAGCTAAATGATGGGTCCCTGGTCCCTGAATTAAGGGGGTGGATACGGCCTTCGGCAGCCACAGGGACGCCCATCACTCTTCTTATCTATCTCCGTCGCACGCACAAGTCCCTCCCGATCCAGCACGCCTCCGTCTCACTCCCTCATACCTGCTGGGGTGGGTGGGTGCAGCCAGAGCCAACGGCTAACCAATGATCCTATTCCACCAGCGACGTGAATTCACTGAGACAAGTCCCCCCCCCCCTCTTTTCCCCTCATATCTCAAGGACCTAATCGTTGTAAAAAGCAGCGTGCGACAGCTGTGACTGGGAATCGAACCCGCAGGCAGTGCGGGACCGGAGCCGTTGGCGAGCGAGGACCGGCGTCCTCGTCCCGGGGATGGAGTGGTGTGGGAGTGATTACAATGTAGATGGAGGGCCCCAGGGAGACCCCTGTCCCGTCCACGCCGCCTCGGTGTCCACGAGGACGCCCTTATTGACATACGTGGTTGTGACGCGTGTCGCGCAGGGGTGACAACGAACGTGAACGTGGTGGCCCCTGGGGAGGAGGCTTGGACACTACTGTCACAAAATGCGCGACGAGAATGTCACTGACGGTGGCGAGCTATCGACGTCACGTCAAACTTTTATCGTAAAATTACAAATTCAAATAAGAAAACCACAGCTTTCAATTTAAAATTACAACTTTTTCTTGCATGATAAATCGACTTGGTTTTCTTTAAAAAGCAAATCGCGCACTTACGACTGCCTTTTTAATGAACTATATTGCGCTCGTCGTCAACAACGTGAAAACTATGCGAAAATTTACAGAGATATGTTTCACTATGGGTGCATGCTTTCATCATAATGAGAGCACTTGCACGATTTCGTAACCCGTCGTTGTGTCCCTTCTGAAACGTTTATCAGCCAATAGCAATGGCATCACCTGAATTAATCAGGGATCGCGGGTCTACACGCGCACGCACGCACATGCACACACAACCACACACACACACACACTAACACACTCGCGCCTGATGGACGACCAGTCGCCAGGTAGAGTCGCCGTTTGGGTCTGAATTCTGGGCCGACGCCGCCCTTTGCGATTTTAGCGCTTGGGCCAGGTGGACCCACCCAGGTCTTTGTTCAGCAGACCTATGCGGCCCACGAGCGAATCAGTCGGGTCAGGCAGACCCAGTTCGGGCCGGCTGGACCCACCCGACCCGTGCTGGGTCTGCTGGACCTGCATGGCCCAGACCGGCCCAGCCGACACAGACCTGCATAGTGTCTTCCCCTCAGCCCGCGTCTCCCTGCCCCTCACCCACGATTGACAGCAGACGTCGTAGTGGCGGACGGGTCTACTGTTCTGCCGCCTGACCCAACGAGTAGTATGCTGGGCCAGACGGGCCCGAGCGGGCCCGTCTGACCCGACATCGCCTAGCGCTGGGCCACGCTGGACCCGCGCGGGTCTGACGGACCAGTGTCTCAGACTGCTACTATTTCTACGCCAAAAATAATCCGTAGATAGAGGCTGGGTCACTCGGGCCGCCCAAACGGCGTCTCTATCGCCAGGCTGATACACAACCCGAGTTGTTCTGCTGCTCCTCGCACACACGCTCCGCCTTGCACTGCACACAGTACTGTATGTTCTGCTTGTCGCATCCTCCTCTAGCTCTCCTCTTTCCCTTCTCTCGCATCCCCCACAATATCCTACCGACTTTTCAAGGGAGTGGAGAGCGCGGAGCGCGCACACGCGGCAGGTTTGGCCTCGAATCAAATCAAATATATAATAATGTCATGTCGCCGCAGATGTGTGGCCGCGGTCCAAAGCGGGACGGAAAACAAAGACGGCTCTGCCGAGGCGGGGCTGGGCGGGTCCCGATCATCCGAGTATCGAGCAAATTGTAGGGCCGGCCACCACCTCTCTCTGCTTTTGTATGCATCGCTCTTTTCGGTTGGAGGGGCGTATAGTATACGAGCGGACTCTAGCGAGTCATCGTGTGGGCTCCCCCCCCCCTCCCCCTTCTCTCTCTTTGTTGCTGCTACTGTGCCCAGCTGGAGCCGGAGCATTATTATGGGGGAGAGTTTTATTCCCGAGTGTAAATCAAGACAATCTGAGGGTCTTTTGTTTTCTGGCCCGATATGGTGGGGGAATTGAATCCCCCCCCCCCCCCCCCGTCCTCTCTGGAACCTTACCCAACAACATCCACTGCCCCTGCCGGACCCGACCCCATCTGCATGGTGAAGATTACCGACGATGTGGACCGTAAATGAAGTATATTCACTGCAGTAAGCCGGTAAGCCCCCCTCCCCTAACCTCACCCCGCGACAGCGCCGCGTCGTGTTGGTGCCGAGCAGCACGGCAGCTCTCGCCCCCTCCTGGTAGTAAAAGCTAGACACTCATTGTTTCAACAGCAAATCAAAACACGGTGGGCCGAAAAAGAACGCGCTGTTGCTGCTCGAACGCTCGAACGGCCGCCCCACCGCCAGGCCACGCCTCGCCACGCCTCGCCAGACCATCGGATATAAATAACAGAGAAACAATGGAGAAGTCCGCCTCGACTGAGGTCGCACGGAGACCGAGATGCAGTCCAGGCGGGACCATTTTCAATTTATTCAGCTGAGAAATGTCCCTAAAGTTTTTCTTAAGTTGAGGATGTCCTGGTCTGATCATGTCATGTCCTATAAGTACTGTAACTCAACTTCTTCAATTCACAACCCCGTGCTTCGCAGAAAATCAAGTACTATTTTAGGACATGCCCAGTTAGTACAATCACTTAGTACAATCAGATACAAATGGACAAACCAAGAGGGCAAAGAAAAAGGCAAAGACATATCAGACTAAATATCAGAAACATTATCAGATATCAGAAAATTTTGGGATTTCATTCATAAGGTTGTAAAAATATGGTCCTGAAATCGACACATTTCTTATATTTGATATCGTTCTATTGGTCACTCTGCCAGTACTTTGTCAGTTGACAACAAAGAACAAGTCAGTTAATATGAGGACATGTCTTTTTGTAGATACCAAATATAAAATGTAAAATTTCAGGAAATGACAAACATTTTACTTTGATGATTTCAATTAAATTTTAACGTTTTAGGGAATGCCAATTACTGCTCTGTGCTGACTGCTCCTAATTTTAAAGAATCTAATGACTTTTTATAACAATTAGTAGGAGATGCGCCACTCACCAAAGATGTCCTTCTGACCGCAGGTTGATATTAGCAGTTTCGAGTTGAAACTAGTTGAGATGTAACACACGTCGGCTGGCACAGGTTGGAGATGACGCTTCGGCTCTCATAACCTCCAGAGAGTGTTCCGCATTCAAACAATCTTTTTGTTAACTTAAATCTGATACGCAAAGTTCTCTTCACCAGCCAGATTAACATTCCCGCACGACGTTTTCTAGATTCTCAAATATAAAATACAGAATTAAATGAAATTTGTCACCGACGACGAAACGACGATCAACACATTCCGAACACGAACACTTCCATGATTGGGCGTGAATGGCTTGCCGTATTGTCGTATAGCATCGGCCAGTGTTGCAAATGAATGGGCGGCTTTGATAGACCATTTCACCCGAGCGCTTTTCGACCTCTCGAAGAACAAAAATACCGGAAGTCAGGGTAAAGTGTCTCACGAAATAGAGGTTTTGTCGTCAATGCAACCGACAATCTACTCTTCTCAGTCCTAAATTTAGTCAAAAATATATTCTTACGGCACACACCGCTTCAATCTAACGTGTTTAACGGCTAGAAACGTTCCATATACTGCACGACTTCCGGTATTTTTGTTCTTCGAGAGGTCGAAAAGCGCTGGGGTGAAATGGTCTATTAATCTTGTGAACCACGGCCAACTCAAACGAGAACTAACATTCAAGGAAGCATTTTTGTAAATTTAAATTTTATCACAATTTCTTCCAAAAAGAAAAGATCAATTTAAAATAGCCATATTGCTTTGTTTTGTTTTATAACCTTCCTTCTTTTCCTTCTTATTTTGGTGGCGGGGGGGGGGGGGTGGCAATTAGTCTCGCATAAGTAAGCAATCTTCCTGTTCTACTTTCGGTGTACCGTAGCCTGACAATATCGTGACGAATGAAACTTGACATCGGAATTTGATTTTTTGCAATAAGGGGATTGTTGTGAAAAGAATTGTGTTCAACAAACTGAAGTGATGAGTGTTGGTGAAGTTGGTGTGAGGTTATGATCTCATTGCCTGTGTACAAAGGTCAACCCACCCAGGAAGCAGGAGCCATCTCAAGTAATTGATGCAGAATGTAAGTCTACATCAATCTTCAAAATACCATTCTTGCTTTAACTATAATTTGCTCTTTGTTTCAAGTAGATCTGTACTTGGGTTTGTACACGAGTTCATCTCTCCAAAGTACATTCATCACTTGAAACAATCCAAAATATTAATCCAAATAAGAAAAAATTGCTCCTCAAATACGAATATTTATTTGAACCAGGAAAAGGTTTTTCTTTGTGGAGGACAAATCTGCTACGAGGAAGGCTTGATGCTCTGATATTGCATTATAATTTCTTCCGCTGTGAGATCTGAAAGGTTCAATAATTGGGCTATTGTGAAAATGTTGGACATGACTGTTTGGAAAATCTGTGAACAGATTTAGCACCATGTACTACCTAATTAAAGCCTTTAATTTTGGCGGTCCTGCTTTTGACTGCTCTGCTTCCCAGTGGCTGTGGCTGTGTGAGAGTGTGAGGAGAAGTGAGGTGGTGGTGCTGGATCTACAGGGGCGGACCGGAGAGGGGCTGCCCGCGGGCAGAGCCTCGGCTCGTTATAGTGTTTCCCTTACTCTATAGGGTGACCCCATGGCTTATGGCGGCCTATCTCACAGCCCGGCACCATCAGCCTAGGGACCAAGTCATCCAAGAGCTCATGAATACAGATCTCTCGCCCACAGACATCACAATCAAAACTTGAAACGTCGAAATGAAGTCGCGAAACCAATCTCCCCACCAAAAGCCAGGGTGAGAGGAGGGTGGGTCTGGGAGGTGTGGGGGTGAAAAGGGGGGCGGAGGGTGGAGGGGTCAGGTCCCCGCCGACCGGCGGCGCGCGGCAATTGGAAATGACTTGGGCTGCCGGGAGGCAAAGTCGGCGAGGCCGGGGATGGATTCGGAACAGGGGAGGCCCGCCGGCCTACGCCGGCCAGCCGGGAAAGTTGTCACAGCATTTCATTTTTAGGCGCTAATAAACTCGGAGGAGGTGGAGGGAGGAAGGGGTGATGGATTGGGGGGGGGGGCACGAGGAGGAGGAAGGGCTGCCGAGGCCGTGTGGCTCCGCTGGATGGAGGCTGAGGTGGACTCCGAGATGCGAGTCCTCCGGCCGGATCCCCGCCTCACTACGACCCCTCTCGAATTTTGTCTTCTAATCTCAGCCCTACCCTCTCCGCCTCCAGTACGCTTTGGCCTTTCATGCTGGGCCCCTTGCTCCTCACGTCTTCGTCGGCCCAACGGGGGACTAGAAGTGAAAAGGGGAGCCGGAGGGGCAGGGGGGGGGGTGTAAAGGAGCCCCTACTACTGACCAGGAGGTCAGGGCCTCAGGCTGGCCTCTCGCAAGGGAGACTGTAGGCGGCACAATCCACACAGTAGTAGTGGGTCGGTTTAACGAAATGGACGGGGGATGTAGGAGAAAGGAGTGTGGAAGGGAAGGGGGGAAAGAGGATGGGCGGGGCGGAGGGGCGGGGCACTTCCGGGGCGCGTACGGCCTAGCCGGAGCCAGCCGGGGGAGCCAGGTGAAACAGCGAAAGGGAGGTCCAGCCCCGCCGGCCGAGGGAGGACGGCCTGCCTGCCTGCAGCTTTTAGTACAGCGCTCCGGGCGTTAAAAGTAACCCCTTCAGAGTAGGCCACCCTCATAAAAGGAGGAAGGGGTGGGGAAGGGGGCGGGGACGGGGGCGGCCGAGAAATACGAGCAAGTGGCCGGTGACAAGTAGGCGGCACGGAGGAGAGGAAGCGGCCGCCGGGGGGCTGATGAGGCACTTTTAATTACGAAACAAGGCGGTGGGGGTAAATAATACTGAGGATGCTCTTGCTCCTCGGCGCTATGCTGCTGGCTGGCCGAGGCGCCGGCGCAACCCCCGCCCCTGCTCGTCCGATTTACTTGGTAATTGACTTTGAGCCCCAAGCACCCCCTCCTACCCCTCCCCGAAAAAAAATGACCCTCGGCGCCCCCGAGGAAGAGAGTATTTGCGCGCAGGCTGTGCCCGGCCCTGCCTGCCGGTGTGTTTCCCGGGCTGCCGCGGCGGGGTGGTGGTGGTCCGACCTCGACAGGCCGACCAGGAGGGCCTGGACGTGACCTTTCGGCCCCGGGCGGACCTGTGTAGTTTGGGCTGCCTATCCCCCGGGCGCCGCCCCCGCCCCGGCGGCCCTGGCCCGGGCGCGCTGCGCGTGCTTTGGCGAGTCGCTGTTGCGGAAGCGGCCGCTGCAATATTCAGGAAGCCGCGCGCGCGCTTCGCCCGCTTCGCCCGCTTCGCCCGCTTTTGCCCCGCCGCCTCGGCCGCGCCCCATCACGAAAGGTATTTGCCCCGCGACTATTGACAGCGCGCAGCGAGCTCTGCAGAGCCGCCATGAATTAGAAATGACGCCGCTGCTCCCTGCCCCCTTGTAGTGCACGGCCTCCAGGGGGCGCCGCGCCTAGCGTCAAGAATACATTATTTTCATCGCAAATTCTGATATTATTTCAAAGTCCGTCCGCCGTCCGGCCCGCGCGCGCAGCCGTGTGTGTGAGAGGGAGAGACAGATAGTGGGAGTTGGCTGGCTGTGCTTTTCTCTTATTTGCCAAGGGGGAGGGCCCTCATTCCACGTGTGGGGAGCCGAGCCCGGCTCTCTGGAGCCCGGTCCGCTCGCTGCCTCCTATATGTACCTCTCCAACTTCATATCCGCGCTGCGCACCGTCCGCAACTGCTCCTATACGGGTTGAGGGCGGGCCTCTCTTCAACGGCCGTGCCCGTGCCCGGGCCACCCCCTCGCCGCCCCACACCCAGATTTGCTTTCCGCCTACTCCCCCTCGCTCCCATACTGCCTCTCCGGCCGCGCCGCAACAGCACAGAATTCCACGGAAACAAGCATATTCAGAGATTTGAATTGCGGCGCTGCAGCCCCGATCGCCGGCAGGCCTGGTTCAGGGGGGTGGTTTGGTTGTCGGGCCGAGAGCGGGGCGCGCGTGCAAAAAACGAAAGTAATGAAAACGACGCGGAAAAAGTTTTCCAGTCTAACGGTTTCGTTCATTTGCCCGCCAGGTGCATGCATTTTCCACAGCGCCCGCAGGCTCGAACGTCAGGGCGGCAGGTGCGGGTGGCGCGCCCAGCTGCTCAGCTGGCTGCTCGGTGCTTTACAGCTGTGTGGTTTGTTCATCCGTACCGCGCGTGGGCCGGGAGGCTTACACGGGGCTGCACAGAGACAAGCCCCCCCTCCCCCC